GTGCATTTAAATGAATAATGCTCAGCAACTGTTGAGCATGGGAGTGTATTCTAGAGACCAATTTTTAGAGATAAATTCAGTTAATGATATTTTGGCTTATACTCCAATGAGGCCACATTCTAAATGCTATATATATGTACTAAGATAGGCATGCATATTAAATGGGCTCATGTTCAGACCTTGAAGTCCTCTCTTGATGAGCAAACTCTAGAATTGCAGGTTAAATATCAATTGGAGCTGAGGCCATCTCTCATGTTCAGTTATTTTATGGTACAGTTTGATATGTCAATTGTTTCATCTATATTACCCTTTTTTGGTACTAACTTAAGTTCATATGGATGCTGAGCATTGGCATTGTTTAGTTCATTTTATATGGGTGCTACACATGATTGCAATCCTTTATTTTTATTTTGGTTTTGTTTTGTTCTCTCCAGCATGACATATATATATATATATATATAAGAGACCTGAAGACATTTTTTTATCTATGCTATTTCAGGGAAAAGTTCGGGCTTCCAGATATCCTAAAATCCAAACATGAGGAAAATGAAGCCTACATATCTGAATTAGAGGTTAGGTTCTTGATCTGATAATTATTAATTATTACATCAAGGTTATTTTTTGTACCACCATTGCTCGCTGTTTATTTAAGTTCACAAACTGCTTTTACTTGCTTTCATATAGCATGAATTTGAGACCTCCTTGATTTTGTAGGTGATTATTTATTTGTTTATATAGAAGTTAGCGATTTTATGGAAGTTTGATTAAATCGACTATTTGTTTAGTGTTGGTAACTTAATTCTCATTTGTTCCCCTCTTATGTGTCTATATACAGACATATATGTATGAATATTAACATTTTTGAGTTCTATGTTGATGTGTAATAATAATGCAACCTTTGAAGTGCTGATGCTTATGATGGGTTCTCACTAGAGGACTTTGTTCAAATATGTTTACTGTATGTGTTTCATTTTCAAAGATCAAAGATAATGGGTGCAAAGTTCTACCCATCAACTATAAATGTAGAGTAGTTGCACTCCAATTCAACTCCTACATACTTATCACTCAATATCAAAGTAGTTAAGTCTTTCCTATGGGCTAGGCCTAGGATGAGATTTGGGTGAAAACAATTAATAGACTTTCAATGAGCAGAATGTATACGATGGGAACCTTTTTTATGTATAGAAATTAATGTGATATGTCATGCCATAATTGAGATTAATTAAATTGAGGACATTAATTAAGACCTTTTACATACTTTTTTATGTATATGATGGGAACCTTTTAAATAAATATTTCCTTTACAAAATTTTCCATTGATAATTTGATAGTACTACAAAATGTTATATTTCTTTCCTCAAATTATTTAGGCCATATGTATTATTTGGGCTTCCTATAAAATCCTAATATTTGCACCTTTCAAGCACAAATGCTCCCACACCCTTTGACTTCTCCGGGTGAACATACTTACTCCCTCTTCATGCTTTCAAAAGATGAGAAAAAATTGAGCGTGGAACCATTTTTTGGTCCTTTAAATCTTGCATCAGAAACTTCAATCTTTTAATTCATATCATCATGTTTCCATTCCAGAAAATTTCTGCTGAACTGTGCATGTACTGAATCTTCTAGTATGGCTTACCTTTTATTGTGCATTTGCATGCTTTGGCCTATATTTCAATTATTTCATTATGTATGAATATTTCAGTTATTTCAATTCAAATATGTCTCTGATACATGTGTGAGTTCCTTTGAACCAGCTATTTATTCGTGAGTCTCTGGTATGCACTTGAATGACAGAACAACAGGTTATGCATTTATGCAGTTTGCTTACCCGTATGGCAAGTATAAGCAACAAACTTTCATGGTGACAAAGAGAACAACATTTGTTATGAGAATAGTATTTTAAATATGCATTTGAATGAATTCATAAATAATGACAAGCCCCACTCAATTTTGCCTTTTAACTGTTGACAGAATGGGTGTTCTCTTCTTTTTTTAATTTTATAATATGATGAGGAATGTTGGACTGAATTTCTGGGCAGCCCCGTTTCTCTCAATCTGAGTCCTAATTTCAATGTCATCTTGTGAATTAATTTGAGCAGGGTTTTTAATAACAATGAACTTAGTGGCAAGATTCCTTCAACCAAAAGGACTACTGCAGACTTTGGAGATATTGTGAGTATCTCTATCACATAGCCAATTAAAATCATAATAAGATGCTAGCTGCGAATACCCATTAAATTTTTTGAATTGAGTATACAGTGTTGGCAATGGATTTTCCTGGATATGTACGAATGTATTTCTATTTACCCACTTGCTAGCTGCTTCATTTTTGCAATATTTTCAGCCATTGATTCAGCTATTTCTTGAGATGCTCAAAGTTTGATAAATGGATTATCCACCTTTTCTGGCATTCTTTAAGTTTTTTTTATCAGTTTGTGATTCTTAGTACCATTCTACTTGGTAGCTGCTAGAAATTGTTCTTATTTGTATTTTATTTGAGCATTTGTTTAATTTTTTTTAAAGTGTGTGTTCTTTATTGATCGTTTCATGGCAAAAGCATTACAATGTATGTATGAGTCTATTTCCTGTTACCCTCTTGCTATCAGTTTCATTTTTGTAATATTTTTCAACCATAGATTTACTTATTTGTTTTTATTCCATGAAATGCTCAAATTTTGATAAATGAGATATCTATCTTTTTCTGGCATTCTTAAAGATTAGTTTTAGTTGATGATTGTTGCATTGATTTTCAATCAACATTCTACTTGGTTGAAATTGCCCCTTTTTTTTCCAGCATAAATGGACTTTTCATGTGTGGGGAATTTCTTACAGCATTCATCTGTGTAGTAGTTTCAATTTTGAAGGTAACCACTGCCAGATATTTGGGTTTATGTTTCTTTCTTCTTCTCAATAGTATTTTCTTTTCTTCTTTTTTTTCAAGTAAATGACATTTCAAAACATATGTTACAATAAAGTGATTTGCCTCTCAGTATTAAGATTATTATTATTGTTTTGAAGAAGAAGTCATGACTATTGTTGAAACAAGTGGATCTCCAACTAGGCTTGAGGTTTGTGGGTTGAACTTTGTTAATTTCAATGGTTTACACTTCCAGGAGTTGCATTTATTATAATTCAGAACATTGATTTTTGTTCTTATTTATGATATTTCAGGGGAAGTATGGTGCAATGGTAGTATGTTGGATTCTAGGACTTGGGTCTCTTGTCTCTTGGAACAGCATGTTGACAATAGGAGATTACTACTATAACCTGTTCCCGGTAAGTAGCCCCTTGTTAATATCCAAATTTCCACCCTTTTTCCATTATTAAACATCACTTTTATGATTGCTAATTACAAAGTTACTTAGTCTGATCTTTTTGTTTCTTCAAATCCTCTCTTGAGATCCTATGTTAATTTACTACTTGAGCTGATTAGGAGCAAGGTTTTAAAAGATTTTCTACATTGACTTCGTTTAAGATTAAATTTCTCATCTCCCTTTTTAGAAGAAAATGCCTACTAGTAAGAATTGGGGTTCATTCTTAGTAAAGTTTGGATTCCTCCAACTGTATGCAGATAAAGTTGATTGATTGGAGTCTGTAACAATTATACATATCTATTCCCATATATCTTTTTAGTCAAGTTTTCAGGTTATTTACAATATAATTCTTTTGATTTGTAGTTCTTGAAGAATTCTTCCACGTAAGACTTGAATTCTATGAGAAGAGAAAGGCAAGCTGTCTAATGTTGTTGTGTTTATCTTTTCTTCCCATTTTGAGCCCTTTCAACTCATTGGTTTTCAAACAGAAAGTCTGCACCTCATTATAATCATCTTACTTCATTTTATTTTACAGCACTTCACTGCTGTCATTATCTGTCACAAGGAGGTTATTTAGTGGATGACTTTATGGAATGCATTCAAGGATGAATTTGAGAATGAAAAGAACATGCTTGGTGGTTCTTTAGGACGATCAAGCACAAGGCTGATGCTTGGTGAAAAGAACATGCCTGGTGAAAAGAACGATCAAGCACAAGGTTGATGCTTCAAAACCATATATATTCCTTCCTGTTTTAGAATTTTTTTTGGATTCTTTCATTGATTTTCCTTTTAATTTTTGTTCAATTACTTATTGGTTTTCAATGGGTGGATGTTTAAAACTTGTCTCAATTAATGTTTTGAATGGAATGATTGTAAAGTTTGGGATTGAGCAGGAAAATATGATGAATTTTAATGTTATATTTGGGTTGGGTTGAATGAATTTTGTTCAATATTGGATTGAATGTTTATAAACAAAAATTGATTGTTAAAAAAAAAAAAAAAGATTTGGCGACTAACTAATTAGTCGTTGATTGTTTAATGTCTTTTGGCGACTAAATAATTGGTCGCCAAATTCTACACTTTTGCGACTAAAATCATTGGTCAGCAATTCCTTACCTGTTGGCGACTAAATTATTAGTTGGCGATTCCTCAACTTTTAGCGACGAAAACAGTTGCTCGCCGATTTTTTGCTTTTGGCGACAAACATATTTGGTCAGGAAAATATTACTTTTCGCGACCAAAGTGTTTTAGCGACTAAATGAATTAGTCGCGGTAATGATATATTTAGCGACCAAAAATTTAGTCGGCAAATCCAACTTTTCCCGACCAACTAAAATTTTGGTCGCGAATTATTTTTGCCGACCCTCAATTGGTGACCAAAGTAGCGACCAAAAAAATTGGTCGCGGATAACTTTTGCCGACCAAAATGGGCTTTTAGCGACCAATTTTTTGGTCGGCAAAAGTGTCAATTCTTGTAGTGATACTAGACAAATTAATTTGTCTAGAATGTAAAATTTATTAATTTGGCTATTTTTCCTGAATGAATTGTCTCTTTGGCATATGTATATACTTTTTCAATGTGGAAAAACAACCATTGACTAGTTGAGGGACAATTCTTCAAACTGGTAACACCAAAATGCAAACGAAAAACTTTACAAGATTTGTAAAAATTAGAAGCAAGGCTCAATAACAAATTAATTTTTTTTTAAATTTTTATTTTTAAAACTGAACCAAAATCAAAAAAACACACTGCTACCAATCCTAAGGCAGAAACCAATTGCTGTAACACTACTCATTTACATCACCAATTTTTATCCCTTTTTTATTTCATCACTTCAAGATCCAAGCAGAATTTTGTGCCACTCATTCATGATGAGCTGAGTGAGAAATGTTTTAGGCAGGGACAATGGCAGGGACAATGTGAGCATCTGGCTCTGATGCTTCATTTTTCTTGGCCTTCCCTTTCTCAAGCAAGTAAAGTCTTTCTGCTTCAGGTATTGCCAACATGATCGTGTTCAGCTTCAAATTCAACTCTTCGACCTTTTCCATGAGCCTGTCATTTGTAAACATGCCAAGAATGACACTTTGGATCGTTTGCCAGCTTTCTGTCAGTGGCAAAACTATAATTACAGCTGATCCAATTGTACCCCATGCTATTGCTATGATTGCCAGAATGTGAAGTACCCTTTGCTGAATCGCCCTGCAATAACCCAACAACAAAACAAAACAATAAAAAAGGAAGAAGAGTTTAATCAACTCACATCTTTCATTTCCAATTTCCATTTATGTAGTGAAAATTTAAAGTTTGTTACTTGTTTAGAAACAAAAACGAAAGAACAAAATAAAAATGTTGCTTATCAAACTGAGGTAACATATTATTGGCACAAAATGACACTTCTTCAATTGATATAATCTCAAAAAGTTCATCTGTAGAAGTTGGGAATGAGGTTATGGTCAGTTCATGTCTTGGTGATAAATTTTTCATTTTAATTTTTGGTAGTGGCTTCAAAATAGAAGGATTAAGCATTCATGTGCTATTATGGAAATCGAAGCAAAAAGTGAATATCAAAATTTTGAATTTACCTGTGAGATTGGATTACAAGGAATCAGAACGAACAGAATGAGTTGCTAGCTAATTGCTGAAAGTCCCTGGCCTCATTCCGTCCATTCTCAAGGCCTTTAGTCTGATTCCTGGCAATCTCACAAAAATGTGATCATAAAAAATGTGAATTCAAACACTGGTTATTGAATTTACCTGCAAGAAGAGAAAAAAGGGGCCACAACAAAACAATCACAACAGTAAAACCAACACCCCATTTCACAATCCACGCTTTCGCTCTTATTAGCTTTTCCTCCTTGAATTCCTCAGCTAGCAATTCACTCTTTTCCTTCTCAACCATAGTTATTTGCTTTGTCGTATCCCAATCATAGTTTTGAGGCCACAAAAAACTACACACAGCATGAATTGCTCCACCAGTAAGTGTGGACACGAGGTTTCCAGCAAGCATCGGTGCATTCCTTCTAGTCGTGTCAAGATTGACCCTTCCATACTCAACACTCGCAACTAACAACCAAGTGATAATCCCAAGAATGCAACCAATAGTCGTCCCAAGGATGGCACCGATTGCATTTGCTTTTCGCCATAGAAGCATGAAAGCTATGGGAAGGACGGCAGAGCCAATGAAGACTCCCGTGGCGAGGTACATCCATCCTAATGAAACTCCAGCCTTGTTTAGTATTACTGCTAAAAGTCCCATGAAACATCCGAAGCCTAGGACGACTCCCCTTGACACTCTGAGGATTTGCTTTCCAGTTGCATCTGGGTTTATGTAAGTGCGGTAGATGTCATAAGTGCATAAGGAAGAGACTGCTATTAGTTCTGATGAACCGGCAGACGTCACAGCCCTGTTTTTCATGTGCCAGAAAATTCAGTGTTTATAACAGAATACTGAAATATTGGAGTTTCAAGATTTAGTACATATTTGAACAAAGAAAGAATGAATTGGCCAGAATGTGGGGATTTGAAAATTAAACTGTCAAAACTTCGCTAAACAAAATTTCAACTTCAACTGATATTTGAATAAGATGAAAGTTTAGTATTGCACATTTTAGAAGCCACAAAAGTCCGAAATCTTGAAATTATGGGACTCGATTAAATTTTAGTAAAATTGTCCAAAGTAGTAAATGTAAATGTCCAAAATTCTGAAACTGCTGAGAATAAAAATTGAAAAAAAAGGAATGCTAGAACTCAAATGGTGATTGTAAATATAAGATCACCAATTGGCTTAGCTCATTTGGTTTTGAGGGCCTTCAACTGATATTGGGGATGACACTTCGACATATAACTTACAAAAGCCCTACCAAGCTTCATAAGAGTATTGATGTACTTTTTCATCTAAAAATGTAGTCTTACTACACTGATATTAGCAAGATCATGGTCTATATATAATGCTCAATTCATGTTAGCTACAGTTTTGAAATTGTTAATGTAGCATTGCTTGAAACTCACATAAAAAGCATAGTAAGTAGAAGAATAGATCCTCCTTTTCCCATCAAAGCAATAGCCGTTGCAGGAGGAACAAGTCCATGACTGGCCTCACTTGCCGTTATAGGTAGATCAAGGGCTAGTGCTCCTAGACCTAGTGACGTTGCCAGAGAGAATGGCACAGCAAACCAGACCAACCCGCCCAACAAATAGCCCTTATGAGTTGATGAAGGCTTTGCAGCAATGGCACTTACCCAATATCCCTACACATTCAAATATTCTTTGTTACTTAGCAATTGAAGAATGTAGACACAGGGCCAACGCTCACTTACATTGTCAACAAACACGGTACCAAAGTTGCCAACAATGTTAATTATCCCGAAGACGAGCCCTCCAGAACTCAACATTGTAAGGTAAGAGCCCTTGTAATTCCCACTAACTGGCCCACAAGACTGCCCATTATGGGTGAGTGGCTCTTGGCAGACTCTTGATTTGCTTGCAACCTCAAGCAGACGATGGTATACGATACTTGGGCTGCCTAGCTTACTGCTTGATGTGTAAACTAAGTACACAAACACGACTAAAACAACGTGCACTAAAACCAAAAACAAAAATAATAGAGCTCATATAAGCACCAAATGTAACTGGAAAACAAGATTACAATATAAAGAGCGAAAATACCTATTACTGAATGTATGTAGCTTGCCAAGAAGGTGGCTTTTAGTCCCCCTGCAAGCGTGTAGACAACTACGCCAAGTGGGATTAAAAAACTTGCAGCGTAGATGTTCACTCCAGTGAGTGCATTCACGACAGCAGAGCCACCAAGAAGAAGCATGGCCGTGACAATGATGTTTGTCAAGAAGCAAAAAGTGAGAAACACAAGATGAGCAGCGGTTCCCCATCTAAAGTAATAGAAAGATAGCCATCAAATTCAAGGAAATGAAGTTTTTCAATGAGTAAAATGATTAGAGTAGCTATGGCACCTTCTGTGTTTTGATTGGAATCATGACAACTATTTGACATACTGAGCTTTCACAATTTCACATATGGTATGAGCATAGGGGGCCTTTCTTTTGATCTCTATCGCCATTACGATCGGCGTGTCCTCCTCTTGCGCGGAAGTGTGGTGGACAGTGTGTTCACTCTGCTCGACAGGCTGGAAAGAGGGCAAATGGCTGCTGTCCTCGCAATCTTTTTAATCCACGGGCAAAGGACCGTCCTCTGTTGCGACAGGTTCGAAAGATGCACTTGGTGTCCATACATATTTTCCAGTTGCCATAGCTTTTTCGTACACCCTTCACATAAGGTCCATGTACTCCAACGGTTTCGTTTTAAACTTTATTGCATTCTTGTTAGTCTAGAGAAAAACAAAAAAAAAAATAAATAAATAAAAACAAGGAAAACAACAAACACCACAACCATAAACAACAATATGAAATCAGACGCGTACAACAAGATGAAAAGACCCTATCGGTGCAAGGAAATAGTATGACGGACTCATAATTGAAATAAATCCCTTCCAATTTCATGAACAGTTTAACAATGTTTGAAAGGTTTTGACAATAGCATAAGCCATCAAAGGAAGAGGTCGAGCAACTCCAACCACACTCTCTACTTTTCACTAGTTAAAGTACGAAAAACGTACACTCTTTATTTTACTTAATTACTTTAGCTATTGTGTTCTCCAACCACACTCTTTATTTTACCTAATAATTCAAACTAACTTAATTAATTTTTAAAACAAAAAATACTAATTGCTGATATTTTACTAATATAAATTTGCAATAATCATAAATTTGCCCATACAAACATACAAAACCTGTAGAATGAGGAGGAAAAAAAAATTACAAAATAAGTTTTTCCGTAATTCATCAAACAAAATTGAAAGAACATATAAAATTGCTACATACACATATACATATATAAAATATATAAAATCTCAAATCCAAGACAAAAATATACAAAAATCCAAGATATATACATACATATTTGTTTGGAGAGCCTTTGGGGCTCTTCAATTGTAGCCACCAAAAAAGTAGGATGATAAAGTAGCTAGTCCAATAGCCAGCCTATTGGAGCTCAAAATTAGAGTTACATTGGCTAAAATGTCTAACAAGCCTTTTTTAACTATCCCTTTGGAGATGCTTACTGATGAACATGGTCTGTTTATGTGACCAATGCAAAAATAAGATGGACTATGTAGTGCATCTGTAAAACCCAAGTTTTGTATATAATTATTTTTGGATAGATTAGTAATTAAATTAATTTATGTAGGTCATTTAATAATATCAAGGAATTAGTTATGAGATGGTATTATTGTTGGGTATACTTCTTTATTGGAGTGTGGGACCCAATTGGTTTGTTAAAGAATTTTAATTTGACTTGGTTTAGATATAATATATTTTTATATATTATATTTGTGGAGATCCAATTCAATTTGGATACAATTAGGGTTTGATTACAAAATCCAATACCCAATTATATATATATATATATATATTGTTCAATATTTGAGATAGATATATATATTGGTTTTCATAAAAAAAAAGTGTCGTACGGCTGCCATTCTTGGTATTTTTTTCAAAAGGTAAGCACCCAGCATTACGATCATGGTGAGAAGCATGGTTCTGTGGTTTTGATTCGGTGGTGGTGTGGTTTTGGTTGATGTTTGGTGACACTGATTTGGATTATTATTTTGGGTCTTCTCTAACTTTGATTTGAAGATTTTGGTTCTTCGATTTGGTAAGGTCTTTCCTCTTTGTTTATTTGTGATTATTTGGAATTCACCTAAGGGTGGTTTTGTGAGACCATACGTGTCTCATTTGTAATCATTTGGAAACTTATTTGGTTGATAGTGGAATCGTATTTCGATCCCGTGACGTACCTTACATTGAGGGAACCACGTAAAAATTCTCGTGTTGCTTTTGATTTAATTTTTTCGCAATAGTTTTTATTCCCATTAATTGATTTAATTGTGGGGAATCACATATTTTCCCTAACAATTATATGGGTAATTTTGTAATTTTGAGAAACTAGATTAATAAGCCCACATGTTTTGCTTCAAGTCTGGGAGAAAAAAAAAAAAACAAAACAAAACAGAGGCTGGTGAATTGTTGTGAAGGGTTTTGGAGGCAGCAAGGGTTTGAAAAAGTAGAAAAGAAAAACAAAGAGAGAGGTTCAAGTATTCAATCATTGACTGGGGTAAGATTCTTGTATCACCAACAAGTTATTAGTTTTCGTTTGATAAAGAAAAAAAAAGGGCCGAAGTTTTTTTTGTAACCTGTAGGTGTCTATTTGGCTTTGAGAGGTTGATGGATAGACTCACGTATGGTGTGTGTGGTCTAGGTAAAGAGTAGAAAAAGTGGAGCAATTTGGGTGGGTGTGTTTTGACTTTTGGGTTTTGTACATTGGGTAAGGTATGTTTGGCTATTGAATTTGGTGGATTGATTTGGTGTCTCTTGGATTAAGTATATATATATTTATAATGGGTTCTTGTTGATGTGTAAAAGACATCAAAGTATTAATTTATTTGAGGTTCTATTTATTAGGTTTGTGTGATTGAATTAGTGGAGCAGAGTGTCTGAAGGTAGTGTGGTGGAATATTATTTTAAGCGTTTGAGATAAATAACCATCTATCATTTTTATTCCTGTTGAATCGTTTAAAATTATAAGTATTTATTTATAGCCTTCATGTTCTCTTAAAAATAAAATATGGATCAAGTATAAAACAACATTGAATATTATTATAAAAATTGTTTTGAATATTTTGTGGAACTATTCTGAAAATTGTACTAAACGTTTATTCTGAAAATATCGAAGGTTTTATTTAAAAGTTGCGTATTGTTTGAATTTTGAACATCACTCTAGTCTGACTACGATTTGGACCCTAGCCAATGGGGGTTATTTATTGGCATAGAAACTAGTTTCTTTTGGGGATTTACCATCGGCTTATGTGTGGTTCGGGGCCTTGTCACGGGATAAGTGACCGTAGTCACCAAGACTTGGGTTTTGTGAATCAAATCATTGAACCATCTGAAAATCGAACCATCGATTTGAACAACGAATTTACTTTGAATTATCTTGTTGGTTTTTCAATTAAAATGTATTGTACATTGTTTATTTTTAGTTATGAAACCACCTTATAAATAATTGTTGATATATTGATTTGTAGCAAAAATTGTATTTGTTGGTTATCGACTATTTATTTATTTATTTATTTATTTTTGTATACTTGATCCAGTTAACAGTGATGGTTGGTTATTTACTGGGCTGTCTAGCTTACCCTTTTTTTTTCTTTTTTTTTTTTCAGATTTCGAGGAGTAGAGCTGCGCGAGGTTTTTACTTGTGGGAGTGCCGAGAGTAGGACTATAATTTTAGTACTTGGTTTATTATTTTGTTAATGGATTATATTAGTGGATTTGGTGGACAATTTCATATGATAAGAATTATTTATTTTTATGGATTTTAGCATTATGATAATTAAGGATTTAATTCGAGTATTTTACATTGTTGGTTATGTGTTGGACTCTTAGCCTTGCGTGCTCACTTAAATGAGTCTGCGACGTTGTCACGGAGGTTAGGGCGTGACAATTTTGTACTATCAGAGCCAGGTTGTTATTTTAAAGGCTGGTATAGAATAGTGGTGAGATTGGGTAGATGTAGGACTGGGTACGCTTATAATTTGGTATAATGTTAGTTTTATTTACATGTTATAGGGACTTGAGAATAGAATAAGATGAGGTTTTATTATTGAAGCATTTAGGTTGCAATGGAACATGAGGAGACATTGGCAAATATGGCTAGGAATACACGCCAAGGTCAAACGAATCGACGGACTGGTAATAACAATCGGCGAGGGAACGTGACTAATAATGGTAGTGATTCTCAATCAGTCGGAGGAAATTAGGGGCAAGAGTTGGGACAACAAGAAAAAGCTGCAATTCCCAATCCAGTTGGAATGGTTCAAGTGCTTCAGACTTTGGCCGGGGTGGTGCAACAACAAACCACCATAGGGAATAACTTGACTAGACTTATGGAGCAACAACAGCGGATGCAACCAGGTGTTGGGCCACAACCAAGGCCACGTTGTAACATTACTGAGTTTAAGAAGATAGCCTTGGCATTTAATGGAGCCACAGACCCTTTGGAGGCTGAAAAATGGTTGACAGAAATGGAAATGTTGTTTCTCATTTTTGAGTGTACGGATGATCAGAAGGTGACCTATGCTATGTTTATGCTACAAGGGATAGCTAATGATTGGTGGCAAATGGAGAAGCGCATACACGAGCATGATGCCAACCCCTATACATGGGAAAGGTTTAAGAAAGCATTCAATGAGAAATACTTCCCTAGGAGTGTTCGTCTACAAAAACAGAGGAAATTTTCGAAGTTAGAGCAAGGGAATAAGACAGTTGCAGAATATGAAGCCGAGTTTACGAAGTTGTCTAAATTTGCATCAGCATTTGAAGCAGATGAGGATAACAGAGCACGAAAGTTCGAAGGTGGGCTAAGAACGAACATTATGCAACTGGTGGTTCCTTTCGAGTTACCTACTTTTGGAGCAGTGTTGAATAAGGCATTGTTGGTTGAGAGTGGCCTCACTAGAGCCCAAGAAGAGAAAGAAAAGAATTATAAGAAGAGACCTACTTCGACCAACTTTCAAACCAACAATAGTTCGAAGGGCAATGCTAAGAGACAAAACACTTCTTCAATTGGGAGTTGTGGAAGTCGAACTATGGGTGGTAGTGTTGATAAGAAGAATGATCGGATACAGTGCACTAGATGTAATGGGTTCCATCGGGATAGTGAGTGTCGCTGGAATACTGGGGCTTGTTTCTCTTACGGGCAACAGGGGCACAGGATAGCTGATTGCCCTAACCGGAAGGGGCTTGAGACTGAATAGAAAGCATGGACAAATAAAGGAACATCAACAGACAGAGGGTCTTCAGGAAATCAAAAGAAAAATGGAGGTCATAAGGCAAAGACTCAGGGTCGAGTGTACGCACTCACGCAACAAGATGTTCAGATTTCCAACACGGTGGTGTCAGGTACTGTTTTAGTGTCTTCTGTTTATGCACATGTGTTATTTGA